AAGTGAATCAAAGACCTAGGGATTAGACTAGAAACTTTGCAACTACTAAAAGAAAATTTAAGGTCAACATATTGGTGCAAGTGCTAATTTCCTTAATAAGACCATTAAATCTCATGAAATTAAACCAAGAATCAATAAGTGGGATGCTATCAAATTAAAAAGCTTCTTTACAGCAAAGGAAACAATTAGAAATGTGAAGAGAGATTATACAGAATGGGAGAAAATCTTTGCTAGCTACTCTCTGACAGATAATTAATGTCCAGAATATATAAATAACTCAAAAAACTTAACATCCAAATGCAAATCACCCAATTAATGAATGGGTAAATGAATTAAACAGACACTACTCAGAACAAGAAATACAAATGGTGGGGCTGGGGTTGTGGCAAAGTACCCAATTAATGAATGGGTAAATGAATTAAACAGACACTACTCAGACAAGAAATACAAATGGTGGGGCTGGGGTTGTGGCAAAGTGGTAGAACGCTTGCCTGGCACGTATGAGGCACTGGATTTGATCTTCAGCACCACATAAAAATAAAAAAATAAAATAAAGATATTATGTCTACAACAAAAAATATTTTTTAAGAAATACAAATTGTGAACAAATATATGAAAAATGTTCAATATAATTAGCAATTAGGGATATGAAAATCAAAATTACACTGAGATTTCATCTCACACCAGATAGAATATCAGCCATCAAAAATACAAACAATAATACTGGAGAGAATGTGGAGAAAAAGAAAGACTTAACCCTGTTGGTGGGATTGTACATTAGTACAACCATTATGGAAATCAGTATGGAGGTTCCTCAAAAGGCGAGGCATGGAACCACCATATGACCCAGCTATACCACTCCTTGGTATTTATCCTACAGAATTAAAGTCATCATATTGTAGCAATATATGCATTTCCATGTTTATAGCAACACAGTTCACAATAGCTAAGCTATGGAAACAACCTAGGTATCTATCAACAGATGAATGGATAAAGAAAATGCGGTATATATACACAATGGAATTTTATTCAGCCATAAAGAAGAATGAAATTACATCATTTGGCAAAAAAAGGATGGAACTTGAGAATATTATGTTCAGAGAAATAAGCCAAACTCAGAAAGTCAAGGATTGTATGTTCTCTCTAATATGTGGAAGCTAGAAAGGGAGAAGTAAAAAAATGGTTGGTGGGGGCACAGAGGAAATCTCATGAAAATCAAAGGGAGATAAGTAGAGGAAAGGGACCAGGGGAAGAAGTGAGGGAAGAGAGAGAAGAAATACTCAGGAAAGACACAACAAATAATATCGTCCTATTTTGTGCACGTATGAATATGTAACAACAAATCATACCATTATATACAACTATAACACACCAATAAAATAATGGGAAAAAATAAAATGCTTATGAACAGCAAAAGAAATAAGAGCATAAAGAGAGAGCCTAGGACATCATTACCCTAGATACATGTATGACGCTACTTCATGTACAACCACTGAAATGAAAAGTTGTGCTGCAATTGTGTACAATGAATCAAACTGCATTCTGCTGTCATATATACCTAATTAAAATAAATAAATTAATTTTAAAAAGAGAAAGTCTAACAAATGGGAGAAAAGCTTTGCCAGCTACTCCTCCAACAGAGGATTAATATCCAGAATATATGAAGAACTCAAAAAACTTAACATTAAAAAATAATCATGTAATTAATAAATGGGCAAAATACCTAAATAGACATTTCTTAAAAAAAGAAATACAAATGGTCAACAAATATATGGAAAAATGTTTGATATTCATAGCAAGCAGGAAAATATAAATCAAAACTACACTAATATTTCATCTCATCCCATTTAGAAAGTCAATAATCAAGAATACAAATAATAATTGCTGGTGAGGAAGTGGGGGGAAAAGGTATACCGATACATATTTGTGGGACTGCAAATTGGTACTACTTCGGAAAGCACTAAGAAGACGCCTTAAAAGCCTAGAAATGGAACCGCTACACAACCTAGCGATTCCACTCCTCAGCACTTATCCAAAAGAACTAAAATCAAAATACTATAGTAATAAATTCATAACACTACTTATATCAGCACAATTCACAATAAACAAGTTATGAAACCAGGAGAGGTGCCCATCAATGAACAAATGGATAAAGAAAATGTGGTGTATATATACATAATGTAGTTCTATTCAGTCCTAAAGAAGAATGAAATCATGGCATTTTCTGATAAATGGATGGACCTGAAGAACATCATTCTAAGTGAAATAAATCAGATACAGCACTAAAAACATATGTAACAAAAGCAAACAGAGACAAGTGGGACTATATCAAATTTATAAAACCCCTGTGCAGGAAGGAAACAGAATAAAAAAATTTGCTGAACATTTATCTGATAAAGGATTACTCTCCAAAATATATAAGGAATTTCTATAACTCAATAGCAACAAAATAAGAATAAGAGGAGGAATAGGAGGAGGAAGAAGAAAAAAACAATTCAACTACAATACAGGCTATGGACTAAGAACTCGAATAGATATTTCTCCAAAGGTGACAAGGAATGACCAAATGATGCAAATTGAAATCATAATGATTTATCCCTTACATATGTCAAGATAGCTGTGATAAAAGAAATAACAGCAACAAGTGTTGGCAAGGATATGCAGAAAAAGAATCCTTGCATATTACCATAGGAAGTCAAACGTTATTTAGCTCCTATGGTTAAACAGTACAGAAGTTTATTAAAAAAAATTAAAAATAGGACTGCCATAAAATCCAGTATTCACACGTGTGGATATTTATCCAAAAGATTTGAAATTGAGATCTCGAAGCAATATTAATACTCCTAAGTGTAGTGCAGCATTATTCACAATAGTCAAGATGTGCAAACAACTTCATATCCTTGGACATATAAATAGATAAATAAAATAAAATATTACAATGGAATATTATCCATACTAAAAAATAAAATTTTGCAATATGTGACAGTATGAACGAACCCTGGGGTCATTACGATAAATGAAACAAGCCAGTTTCATAAAGTTTCAATATTTCAATATACTTATATGAAGTATCTAAAGTAGTCAAATTCACAGAATATGGCTTTTGGCCATTTCCATGTTATCTCTGCAGAAATGTGTATCTGAATTCTTAAGCTATTTTGTAATCAAGTGGAATGAGAAGGAGATGTGTTCCTGTTTTTAACCTATTAGAAAAATAATGACAAGCTGTGATATCATTGGTGTTCATGGAGATGCAGGGAAATGAGCATGTTCATCATTATAATTTCTCAGTATATATTAAATTATAAAATGCTTATAGTTATGATCCAGCAGTCTTATTTTAAATTCAGTAAGGTACAGAAATAGCAAAAGTGTGAAAAGGCAAATATATAAGAATGTTTATTACTCATAACATTGTACATTATGACAAAAAATAAATAAAATTTAAATATTCATAGATACAGCAATGACAAAACACATGGTGGTCACCCATGATGGTAAACAATAAATGCAAAAAGTACTATGAAATGTAAGAAATATTTAGGCAGAAGCCCATGACACACTGTTAAATAAAAGTAACAAGCTGCAAAATAATAAGAATATTATGATTCTAATTTTTAAAATTTATATTTCCACATATGTTTTCTAGAATGATAAATATGAAGCTATTTACAATATCTGTGAAGTAGATCTAAGAGAGAGAATATTTTCTCTTTTTTTGATATACTGTTTTTCCTATATGCTATATAATATGCTATAAGCATGTATTACATTTGTGATTTAAAGGACTGCTCTGCCTGTATGCACAAAGGCTGTCATTTCTGGTATATAACCAATAAAAAGAGACTTGCTTTTTCTGAGTTAGGCATCTTCCACTCATTGACTCATGAGCCTGTCTTCTTCCACATTCTACACTCTCAAACACCTGAAGACAGTAGTCATGTACCTTCAATCTTTTATCCAATTAAACATCCCAACTTCCCTCTTGAATTCCTTATATGAGTAGTTATCAGTTTCAATACACTGTTTTTGAATGTCAAGAAACATTTCCACAGCCTCCATCTGTCTAGAACGGTTGAGTGGGTCTATTATCACCTTTATTTTGAAATGATTTCAACAAATGCCTCAAAGGTCTTAATTAAGTCTTCTGGCAACCACACAAAACTGCTAATTAAAAACTCAGCATGGGGCAAGAGATTCATAGAAACGCTCTGTGATATCGTCACAATTTTTTAATGAATCTAAAACTTCTGAAAAATAAAAGTCACTAAATAATACAACTACAGATACAAAATGTAAGTCAAGATAACATTTCCCTCAGAAGGTTCAAAATGCACTTTCTGTATCCTGAAGCAATTTATCTATGTGTGACATCTGAGACATGTTATTTTTTGTTGGCATCTGGTTAGGCCTTATATTCTAGTAATTTCACTAAAATCACTAAAAATGTGACACAACAAACAGTTTTAATAATAAGTTTATAAAAACATTTCATTAATATTCAGAAAAACAATTGTACTTTCTTTAAAAGTTAAAAAGAAATAAGCCTGACCAAATTAAATTTTGAATTTAATTCAGGTTTATTACTTTAAATTCTAGTGATATATTAAAATTTAATCAATTTAAACTTTGAACTATTTCACAAGTATAAATATCTCCAAAACAAATTTGAATTCATAAAAGAAATCCATAAGAACAGTCTTGTTTTTAAAAAAAAGAAACATCTAAATTTGGTTCCTATCTCTCTCCTTTCTTTTACATATATACGTTTTTAGATGTTAATGGACCTTTATTTTATTCATTTATTTATATGTGGTGCTGAGAATCAAATCCAGTGCCTTAGCCTGATACACTCTAGGCAAGCGCTCTACCACTGAGCTACAACCCCAGCCATAGTTCCTATATCTCTTAACCATAATGTTTAATGTACATTCATCTGAAAAATTAATATTTCAGTAATATATTTCATATTTAACCTGATATGTTTTAAAAACATTTACCTTAGATAAGTGTTTGTAGATAAGACACATAAAATATCACGATAAGTCTGTGAATAGAATCAAATCAATGAGATTATTCTAAGGAACATTGTAACATTTCAAGTGCTCTGATTAATTAATATAAACATCCTAAACTAGAAAGAAGTGTTTTTGAACATTAAAGTAAGTGCTCAGGAATAGTTTAGTCCCAGCTCTGCCCTAGGCAAATAACTTTTTAAAATTATAACTTCTGATTTTATTAGAAAAAAAAATGTTTTAGAATAAATCTTAAGTTCCACTTCAGCTCCAAAATTCTAACTTTTATAATGTGGATAACTAGTTTCTAATATTGTAAGTTTACATTTTTATTGTGCCAGGGAGTAGAGTAGGAGTGTATTGTTATCTACAAAGGAGTCAGCTTCTTCCATGTATTTTCGAGACTATTTTATCTTGGCCTCCCTAGCAAATTAGGAATCAATCAAATAATCACTTTCTCTACATATCTATATTCCTATTTTTCTTTCCCACCAACTTTATAGTCTATGTGAAACAGAGGAATGAGAAATGTGGATGTGGAAATTCCTTACAGAAGGTGTGCAATTTGACTTTCAACAGGACCATAAATAGTATTGTGGTAGAGAAATCATGTTATTGCTTTAAAATCTAAAATAAATACATGACTTGTAGCAAGACAATTGGTAAATAAACATGGTTCAAAATTGCTAAATAGATACATAACCCTAGAAATTTACTGTCATTAAATAGGCTCTTAAATAAACCACTCCCAGACCAAAAACATCTGCCAGTGGTATTTTAAAGATTTCTTTATTATGATATTATTTTCCTCTGCCGTGAAGACAGTGAACATGTAGAAAGAGATTTTTAAATGACTATACAAATTTTCCCTGTGTGTCTCAAGATTTCTTTGAATGTGCTTTATATTTGGAAGACACTAAAGCTGCACTTTACTTTGATTTCATAGCACATGTTACAATTAATAATTCTTTAACTTTTAATATGATTATTTGTTTAATTTTTGCCACTTTTCACTCCGCAGGACTACTCAAGACAGAAGTGGGTGTGTTTTATTTGTCCAACATACCTACAATGTTAATGTAGGTCTTCATATATAGTAAGAGATTGATAAAATCTTTTGAAAGAATAAAATTTCTTTAATAATGTGTATTTCTACAACAAAAGTATAATACTATATAAAGTAAGACCTGAATAAAAATTATTAGAAAGAGAAAACATAATTCTAAAAATAGGAAGAAATTCTGAGAAATTAGCATTAATCTATAATAATCTTTATCTTGAACCCAAAAACAAGTAATAAAATTTTTAAAAATACCTTTTTAAAGATAAAATAAGTAATCACCAAAACAACTGGAAGCAATAATGTCTTTGTGTATCTCAGTGGAGTCTGAAATATAGCAAATTATTCAAAACTAGTTATTTATTCAATTTTACATTGTTAGTAAAAATTTATGTCAAACTGAATGCAATAAGGATATTTCTTAAAGGTAAAATATCATTGTAATTAGCATAATATATATATTTATCAGTGGTCACATTCCAATATAAAAATAGTTAATACTAAGTGTTCAAAAAATTAATTAAAAACTCTTAAACCTAAGTTAGTTCTATAATATTGTCCTTTCTTTTGATTTTTTTCCTTATTTAATAATATTAAGTATTAACATGAGAGTCTACTGATGCCTAGGCCACATGTTGTCATTTCCTATGCTGCAAAGTTCTGTTACTTTCATTAGTGAAACTGGAGCTAACAAGGAGGAAAACTAGCCAAAGTAATTACTAATAATATGAATGAAAGCAGAAACAGCACATCAGGTAGATATTCTCATGACCTGTTCTTGTGATATGGAGTGATTTGCTGTGTAACTAAATTATATATTTCTTGAAAGCAAGAGCAAGATCATTTTCCTCTGTATTCCCATAGCAAACTTCCTCACATATACTTAGTGGTCAATAACCATTTTTCAATGAATATATGACTGGTTGGATGGAAAAGAAAATAATGTAAAATTTCATTATTACATTGACCACTAATTAGTAGACAAGGACTGATCCAGTGACAATTTCTTAATTGTCTTTGAAGAAAAAAATTAAGCCTCAGAGAGAGGAAAGAACAATAAATTGGGAGTTCTAGGATACAATTAGAACTCACAAGTTTTTCTTTCTGCATCTGCAAAAGAAAGAATTATATTACACAGTTACTAAGATCCTTTCCTGCTCTGATTTTTCATGATTCTATGAGAAAGCAAATATTTAAAGCTTAACAATTTGAGCTTTTTTAAAGGATAATACCATGAACTTTATATAACTTGAGCACTTTTAAAAGATAATACTTGAATTTCTAAAACTTATAATAAATTTTATACATTTATTAACTTATTAACAATATAACTTTTTGACAATAACATGTTAAAAAGTTTCATAATATTTGCAGTATTTTTAACTTAAGATAGGGACTATTAGTTATTGATTTTACAGGTCATATGGTTAACAAAGTTATAGTTAAAATGATATAGTAAGTACGTTGGGCATTTTTTGTGTAAAAATTTGGAATTTCGGATTAAAGGAAAAACTAAAGAGTAAAAAATAAAGAAATGTTCATACCGCTTTTTCCATAAAGTCAAATTCAGGAGCACAGGTATATACTAAGGTGTCGAAATCTGTATACCCTAAGATTCTGGCTGCTATAAGGTCACTCAGGCGAATCTGGAAAAAAAATAAAGTAAAATGAATTAAAATTACACAAATAATTATAGTCAGTAATAATTAATTTGATGTAAGAGTCATGAAGTCTACAGAGCAGATAAATCCAAGATACACAGATGTATCTAAAATGCAGTAAATCAAATGTATTATATGCTGACTTATCAAGATAAACTGAAAATAAAGAGAAATATCAAGTGAAAAAAAATGAGAAAGAGGTCAGATAAAAATAAGCAGAGAACATGATAAAGCTAAAATCAGCCCTTGTTGGGAAGAAACGACTATGCAGTTCAAAATCATGAGATTTTATAATCAGATAATTTATTATTTAAAAGGTTAATTTCACCCCAAAGATTTCATTTCACCTTTCACCACACACTATAAATCATAAACAAACTTTCTGTGCACTGTAACTTTCACAAAGCCTCAGATGCTGATTATGTTTGGTATTTCTTCACATTTTTTTAAACATACAGTTGAGTCATTAAATATGAAAGCTATTCCTCATAAGAATCAGAACAATTATATATCTAGATTTAGTTACTTGCTCTTAAGGCATTAAAATTATATGCCACACACAATCCCACTGTGGAGCTCCTATTATCTACTAATGATTTACTGTCTACAGTTGGTGAGACAATTATTTTTGCACTGAATTCTTAGAAGACCAGAAAAAGAAAAATATTTGGCACTAAAACCCTAATTCAAATTATTTGATAGGGACAGAAATTGTTTATACCAAGTTGATAATTATGAGTGTTTCATGTTCATTCACTGTTCCTCCTATCTACCAGTACCAAAACAAATTTAGAATTGCTCTTTCTTTTTCCAATTCTGAGTTTATCCTGGTGGCTAAAAAGAAGTTAATCAAACCACTAGAATTTCAAGTTTTTCAAGTCCTCATTGAAGACTACTAAGGGAGGATACATGTGTTTCTTGTAAAGAGTTGGGTGACAAAAAGAAACAAAAATCAGAGACCATTCTCAATTGACAAATAAATAACTTAGAAGGCCTAAATAAACTTTATCATAAAATAATCTATTAAAAAAGCTAATAACAATAAAAAGGAAGGGTACAAGGGAGTATGTCAGATATATCAGACAATAGCACAACAAATAAAACTAATAAATCACCATTCAAAGTCAGCAATAAATAGTAAATGAATGTTTACACTTAGAAATTTTATTTAACATCAAAATGTATGCATGTTTTATTGGATAGAAACAGTAGTTGGCTTTTTAGAGAGGAAGTATCATAATCACTTGCTCCAGTTAGCATAATTTCAATATTAGAGAGGATATTAGTATTGGAAAGTACTAAGTAAGGTGAATTTCATACATTATGGTATGATATGATCATGTATGATTATTTCTTAACAGAAAGTGCTATAAATCAAATGTAACTTTATGCATTGTTTTCTATTCCATAAACTAACTAGTTAAGTAGGGACTTAGGCCTAGAAAAGGGCCATCGCTTAAGATATTAGCTTTGAAAAACACATAAATAGCACACAAGAGATAAGACTCCACATATATTTTTAAAAAGCTTATTCCTTTTTTTTTTTTTTTTTTTTTAGTTGTAGATGGACACAATACCTTTATATCATTTATTCTTACGTGATGCTGAGGATAGAACCCAGTGCCTCATACATGCTAGGAAAGTGCTCTACCACTGAGCTACATACAATCCCAGGCCCTCCACATATATTTTTTAAAAGTTGAAAGACTGAGAACTTTTAGCATTCTCTCTTTATATAACCATTAAAGATTAAAAATATCAAATCATATCTTAATTTAGTCCTTAATTATCCATAAATAAAACCACATTGAGATATTTAGTTCTGTATTTTGAAGCCAAGCAATGTTAAAAATCTATAAACACGAAAAAACATTTAAATAACTATATGTATTTTACCTAAAATATTATAAATAACTATACAAATTATTAGTAATCTTTTCTTTCCTAGAAGACTGAGTTAGCATTCACTGATATACTTTTTTCCTAGCTCTTGCAAAGACCATTGATCTGCAGGACTTTATTAATAAATCTGCAAATAAATAGTCTGGGAACCTTAAAGAAATGGGATTCTCTGTAAAATGAAGAGAAAAGAATAGATTGTTTTAAGGTTTTAATGCAGCTACATGCTTTTAGAAACTTAATGCTTTAATTAGAAAGTACTTACATGGTCTGAAACACCTAAGATTTTAGAGGTCAGAAATTTCAAAACGACAGTTCCAAACCACCAAATACCACTTTGAATTAGCTAGGAAATAAACAGAAGCCCAAGATTAAAAATATCATATTACTCATTAAAATGTTCAATCATACCTATATGTGACATAGAATGATTTAATCATGTGAGGAACATTAGTAAAATACATATATTGTGAGCTATAAAAAAAGATGCCCCTTTAGAAAATTTTAACAGCAAAGAATTGAAATTGATGACATTGCTGCAAAATACACAACAATAATAGAGCACTATATATCCTAAATGTAAAGGAAATTATAAAAAGGTATTTCTTTCAAATTTTGTTAAGAAAAGACAGTGGTTATGTATTTATTTCCAAATATTATTACTCAGCTGAAATGCATTTTTCAAAACACTAAGCTATTTTCTCACTCTAGAAATACATGAGTCTCTCTTCAAGAAAAAAAGTCTAAAATTTGAAATTTGAACACTGAAGTTTTCATTTTCAGAAGAGAACTGTGTACTAAAACAGACAAGGAGGCTCCTGGATCTTATTATTACAGTTGTTTAAGTTTTTGTCCAGCATTGATTGAAAATAGACTCAGGGTAGTGAGAGGAATTATAGCAGCCTAAATCCAAATCTCTCCACATACCAGCCAACAAGTAGAATAACACAATGGCAAATGCAGGAAACAACAGTATGAACTTCAAACTACCCATAAATGGAAAAGTAAACAACAAATACAGCAGAGTTGTACCTCATATTCCTGACCTAAGCCTTTGCAGAGAATGAGGGAGGACCCTCAAAGTACAGAGAAAAGAAAAGAGGGAAGTGAGGGGGCAGAACTGAACTCAAGTACCCTGGGAAAGAGAAAAGCCCTTGAAGACTGAGGCCAGGTACTGAGTGGGGAAAATGGTTTGGGTCTCAGAAAAGCATTCCTTTGGGATAGAAAGGAGGATAAACAGGGAGAAAATCCCTTTGGAAAAGTATGGTGAAGGAAATAGAAGTAGGAAGGGAAAATTTAATATTCAGCAGAACAATCAACCAAAAATAAAAAGATAATCAGCCATGATTGCCATCACGAGGGGGAGAGGGAGAGGGACAAAGCGGGGGGCGGGGGGGGGGCAAGGAGATAAGAGAGGAGAGAGAAGAAGAAACAGAGAAAAGGGGAAGAAAAAAAGTTATATTTACTGAAAAAAATTTCTATATTGATAGAAGTAGTTGTACTTGAACTAGAAAACACCAATCCTGTCTATAAAATAATTAGATAAAAGATGCCTATATGTCTGTAAAAAAATTTCTATAAAAAGATAAGAAAAAATTTGAGTCAAATATTTTAGCTGATGAAATCCATACCACCAAACAACACTAAGCTTACAATGCAGAAACAAAACAAAACACTATGCAGAAATAAGACCTTAATTAAATATCTTAAGACAATCAGGTAAGTATTCCAAAGGTATAAATATTTAAAAATCAGCTTAAATAATAAATTTAAAAACTAAAAAATAGAAATGAGAAAAAACAAAATTTATTAAACACAGAAGAGGAATGGAAGAAAAGGAGAATACCAGAAAATCAAGACTATTATTTTTAAAAATGACTAAAAGATTCAAACAAAAAAATAATAAGAACATTTTTAGGCTATAAAACAACCACAAAGAATGAAAATGAGATCAGAAAAGAGTTAAAAAGATCAGAGAAAGCTGTTGAACTGGAAGACTGGAAAAACAATGAATCACACAGAGCTGGTATTTTAAATTATAATCCAAGAAAATTTTCCACAAATAAGACAACCTGAATGTACATTTGAATGTAATGGGCACTAGGAAAACTGAACCTGTATGTAAACTAACTCAAGACATATTCTAATAAATCTATTTTTAAAAAATTCCTCTGAACCTCCTGGCAAGTGATTTTGGCTAGCATCAAACTGAATAAAAGAAACATACAGCCAGGCACAGTTGTGAAAGACTGTAATCCCAGCTACTTGGGAGCTGAGGAAGGAGGATCCCATGTTCAAGGTCAGCCTCAGCAAATAAGCAAGACCCGTCTCAAAAAATAAAAAGGTCTGGGGATGGAGTTTAGGGGTAGGATATCTCTAGATTCTAGATTCAAACTCCAGTACCCCATCACCACACACACCTACAGAAATATACATAGCAAAGCAACAGTGTAGCAGCATTTCAAGAAACTCAAGAAAGTTGTGAACCAAGGACTCCATATATATAACCAATCTGAATTTCAAGTATAAAAGTCAAAGAAAAATGGTTTATAGTATGGAATAATTGCAGAAGTAATATTAACCTCCCAAGTAAGAAAGTTTAAAACAAAGGAGAATCATATAGAGAAAAAGTAAACATAATAAAACCCAGAGAAAATTTATAACAAAGATTTTCAAATGTGAGACCCAACTCATGCTAAAAAGAGGAAAACATCCTAAAACTGATTCAAAAGGTGAAAAACAGAAGGGTGACAGGAGTATCAGGTAAATGATGTCCAGGGAGACTTGCTTAAAGCAATGATCAGAAGAATAGACACGACCTCAAAAACTTTTATCAATAAAAATGAAAGAGTGAAAATAAATTCACTAAATCCTTATCTAAGAATTCTAGATTAAGACATAAAAAATAAACCAAAAGAAAGCATGAGAGGAAATCTCATGAATAGAAATCATATTATACATATGAGAATATGTTGTTCTTTATTTCTTACTAATTTTCAGTTTCTTTCTCTCATCATTTCCTTTCTGTTTCAACAATTTCAATTAAGCATTCTGCAACAGTTTCTCTGTGAGTACCAAATTCTCTTTGTTTTCCTTGATCTGAGAATGTCTTCATTTCTGCTTTGTTCCTGGGGAAGGACACCTTTAACTATAAGTACTAGTTGACATTTCTATCAGCTCTTCACAAATGCTGTGCTACCTCCTGGCTTCCATGGTTTCAGGTGAGTCCACTGTAATTCAGACGGGTTTGCCCTTTAGCTAATGTGCCATTTCTTTCTACTTGTGCCTTCAGGAATTTTTCTTTATGTTAAGTTTTCAGAAATTTAATAATGATGTATCATGGTGTGAGTTTCATTGGGTTTATCCTATGTGGGATTTGCTCAGTTTCTTGATTCTATAAGTTTGTCTTTTGCCAAATTTGGGAAATTTTCAAGCATTGCTTCTTCAAATACTTTTCAGTCCCTCTCTTTTCCCATTTTTGCCACAATTTTGATGATATAAATATTAGGTCTTTTTTGCTCCCCTAACAGATCCCTGAGGTTCTGACATTTTCTTCCACTTAGTTTGGGTAATTTCTACTGCTTTATCTTCAAGTGCACTATCATGTTTGCTCTGCTATCAAGCCTATTCACTGAGTTGTTAAAATTTGTTATTGTATTTTTCAGGTCTATAATTCCCCAGCTGTGACTTTCATTTAAAAAAAGAAAGTTTTTATTTTTTGGTGATAGTTTCTAATCTTTTCATTTGTAGGGTATTTTAATAGGGTATTTAAAATTTCTCAATGAAGTATTTTTTATGATGACTACTGTAAAATCCTTATCAAATAATCCCCAACATCCATTATCCAAACTCCCTCCCTTTCTCTTCCCCCCTGCTCCCCACCTCTAGTGATCACTAATATATGTTTCAACCCACTGTTTTTTAACATCCATATGAGACAGAACATGCAGTTTTGTCTTTTCTGGGTCTGATTTCTTTCACTGAACATAGTTGTCCTCCAATGACATCCATTTTGCTGTAGATGATAGGCTGTATAATATTCCATTGTGTATGCATACCACATTTGCTTTGTCCATTCATCCACTGATAGCATAGATGCTATTGAGGATAGTGCAGCAATAAACACGAGCATGCAGGTGTCTCTGTGGTATGCTGATACCATTTCCTTTGGATATATACCCAGAAATGGAATAGCTGGATAGAATAAGTTCTAGTGTTCTATGGTATGGAGGGTGACTTCAATTCAGTATAATCTATCATATATTTTGTTGATAACTATGAGAGAGGATGAAGGCTCCCAACACAATGTAAAGATAAGGAGATTAAAATGTCAATTGCTTTGATTTTATCAGTACATATTATGTGCATGTACTGAAATACCATAAAAATGTACAATAATTAGTAAAAAGTAATATACAGATTTCAAAAACCGCATAATTCTGTTCATCTCAATGTTGACATATGTTGTCCCCTCTCATTCAACTTATTTTTTTTCTTATTCTTGCTATAATAAGTAGCTTTCTATTGTGTCTGGTTCATTCTGGGTATTGCATTAGAGACTTTGGGTCCTATTTTAATATTCTATATGAGCAGATAGTCACCTTGTTTAAGTTTATCATGCAAGTCCCAATCTTCTTTTGTATACTATTGTTACAATGCCAATTTGGTTTTCAGAGTCTTTGCAGTGCTATTCTTGGAGGTTTAATTTACCTGGTGCCCTTGTAGGCTTCATTTCAGTCCTCACTCATGCTGCCCATAGGGAAGAATGTACCTCTCCAGCACTCTTGCCATTAGGTGGAGAGTTGGAGACACCAGGTTTGTAGGGCGCAAAGAGCTCTTTCTTGGCTGGTCTAGTGTTAGTATTGCTCCTGTTCAATCCCTGCTGGTGCCACTGAAGCTGTCCACTGACACTGGAGTGTGAGAAATGGTAGATACCAGACCCATGGGATGGAGAGAATTTCCCTGTGTCTACTATGAGAATACTTTCCTCTATCTCTGTCTCCCAGTGCTGATAATGTTGCTGCTCCATCTTTGCCACTGTCCTGGTGGAAGAAAACAATTACCAAAGCAGATGACTGCTGCTTAGTAAAGGTCCTAGAGATGTTGGGCTCAAGACTGTCTTCTGCCACTGCACTGAGTTTCAAGAGATGACCTGTTGTGTTTTTGCATATTTATAATGCTGGACTAGCAATGGAAGTATAGTTATAAAATCATGAATTCATTCACATACACACAAATGTATACATGCACATACATACATGTTCATAGCTAAAGGGCCTAGAAGCAAGAACACACTGGTATTAATGAGAATACCTACCACTCAGGTCTTGAGTTCTAAATACCTTTCTCCACTAAAAGGAACCAGGATTGATTCTAGGGTTGGGGCAAGAAAAATACAAGATGAGCCTGGTGCATCTTGTTGAGTCAGAATGTATGCAAGCATCCAAAGACTTGTGGCGGCAGGTCAAAGGGATAAAAGATCCAGCTTGAAACCATCTATAATGGCACAATGGTATTTGTACATAATGTGAATTTTCCCTATATAAATAACAAATTATTCCAGCATCATTCATTGAAAAGTGACCAGAAAGTCAATCTTATTGAAATTCCTTGGAATCTAAACATTACCTGGGAAGAAGTGAGATTATAAGGAGTTTGTCTATGCATAAACATGGTTTATTTTTCTATTTAGTGGGATATTCTTTATGTCTTAAAAATTTAAACATAAGTTTCACCATGTAAATATTGTCATATTTTGTTAGCTTTAATCAAACACTATATATTTTTTCTTTCTGATATGTAAAGCATATTTTCAAAACTACGTTTTCTGTTTGTTGCCAACTTTTCTATACTCAGACTTTTGTTTCTTTGATATTCTTGAGTTTATAGCTTAGTTAATTCTTATTGTTCCAAGTCTATTGCTGAAAATGCAGTCGAAATGTAATTTAAGTAAAAAAAAAAATTTCCTTTAAGTATTGCTTGGCAGAATTCCTTAAATGACTAAGGGCATTGTTTTACTTGTTATTTTTCAATAGTTTGTGATTAAATTTTTGATTTTCTTTTGAGTTATCAAATTGCCTAATTTTTCTGAAGTGAAAAATATCATATATTAGAAGTCTCATGTCATCCAACAACTTAGTGATCAACTCTTTCTACTTTTTCACCAAAAGGGATAAAAAAAAAAAAAATGCCTCCAGAAAGCACAAACAGGCTTTCCATTTCCTGCTTTTGAATTCTGTGGAAAAATCTATTACCTCATCTTAATATAACTTTTCTAGTTTCACTTTTTCAATATATAATAGGTAAACATATAACTCTTCAATATTGAAGGTTTTTTTAAAAATAGGAGCACATTGAAGACCCAGAGAAAAAGAATAAATGACATCTGAAGATGATTTTCTACCTTTGAAAGTAGCTATTGAGATTAAAGAAACTGTGTTTAAAAAAAAAAAACTGAAACTTACCCAAAAGTTGAGTTCAGAAACTCCCAATTTTTGAATTTGATTTTTCTTTAAAATTATTGCCTAAAATACACATAACAGGAAATGAAAATAAAATTAACAATTATATTTTATATGAAAGGAACCTTTCAAAAACTACAAAGCCAGACTCTTCCATCTCAACTATTACCAGCCATTTTCCTAATTAATTGTTGACTTTTCAAATTTTGGACATGACATAGCTAAGTGCTTTGTGTGCTAAAATTTGCCTCTTAAGTTGATTTCTCAAATAGTTATGATGGACTTTTTCTGTAAGGTTTAAATACCTGAAAAGGTAGCTGATGTATGGACACCACCACTTTGTAATGCTAAAAAAGTATGAGACAATGTTGAAAACAACAAGAATACATTTTGTGGGGAAGGAGAAAGTGAAAAGATTGATTACCAAGAGAAAAAAAGGTGTAGGAAGCAGAAACGTTAAAATCTATAAACAATCTCATAATCATCTGCACACGGCGAAGTGCTATATAAAGTGCAATACTGTGGATTGTATCATATTTGATCAGTGTGGAAATGGAAATTAGCAGAGACTATTCCAGATTCTGGCTTATGTATATCAAAAGTGTGCCTAAAAGAATTACAACTGACCATGGAACCATCATTCCAAACATATCCACATAAATATCATTCTGTGAGAGTGAAGTTAGGTGAGGAGACGATATACTTATCATAATTATGTTGTCATTGCTCAAGGAAATAAAATCAGTCTCTCTCCAAATTTTTACCTCCCTTATTTTGTTTTACTCATAAATAAATTGTGTTAGTTAACACACAAAAAAACCCTATATGCATACATACATGAGAAAACATGGAGAAAAGGAAACAGAAGTGGAGATATTTGCTATATTATTGAAGGTTAATTTCAAATACTTTACCCAATGAGATAGTTTTTGATATTCACATTGCAATAATTTAAAATCTGTAAAAATATTTTATATCTGACCTAAAATATGAGATCATTCAGCACCTCAAAAGTTTTTTAGAATACAGAAAGAATTAGTGTATATCCAGTCTTGGAACAGAAAGTGGCAACGAGGCTGATTAAAAAGAATTTTTTCTTTTTTTTACAAAATCTATACTTCAGTCATCACTCTACCCTATTGTGCTATGTAACCTCCAGTTAGTTATTTCTCAGATTATTCATCCTTATAATAAAAAATAATTAACATATTTCATTCAGAAATCTTTCTAGATCTAAAATACTGCAACCCAAATAATACTTCATCCATTTCAATGATAGAGGAATATAATAGAATATATGACTATCTCCTTGTTATACAAAGCTAATACATTAACAAATACAATTTATATATGTGAAATATTAGAAAAATTATAACTTTTATTTATTCTTTGTGGAAATTACACAAGTTGAATGATGAAATTTATTTTAATATGTGACTAAGAACTTTGATACTCTTTCTGAAGTTACTCCATTCTAAAATAACTGTTTATATCTCTTATTTTTAATTAATGGCAGATTTTTTTTCATTTCATCAATATTCACAACAACACATGGATATATAACTAATGTGATCCTGCAATCTGTACACGTAGAAAACTGAGAATTCATACCCTATTTGAATCAAATGTATGATACGTCAAGATCATTGTATTGTCTTGAACAACTAATAAAAAAAAGAAAAGAAAATATTCACAACAAAATTTAAAACTCTATTATTCTGTTTATTTCAAAAGCTTATTTGACTCCAAAGAACCAAGAAATCTTCTATGATATTAAAAAGTGTATGAAAAAGTCTAACTCAATTTGTATTTTAAGTAATATAAAATCTGTGCTTGTGAAAAAGGAATTATGATTGCAAAATAACAACAAATATCTCAAACTGATTAGAGTACTTATCTACTCAAAATGTCCTTTCAAATTAAATTTCTTTTTTTTTTTAATTTTTTATTGTTGGTTGTTCAAAACATTACATAGTTCTTGATATATCATATTTGACACTTTGATTCAAGTGGGTTATGAGCTCCCATTTTTACCCCATATACAGATTGCAGAATCACATCAGTTACACATCCATTGATTTACATATTGCCATACTAGTGTCTGTTGTGTTCTGCTGCCTTTCCTATCCTCTACTATCCCACCTCCCCTCCCCTCCCCTCCCCTCCCCTCCCCTCCCCTCTTCTCTCTCTACTCCCTCTACTGTCATTCATTTCTCCCCCTTGTATTATTTTTCCCTTTCCCCTCACTTCCTCTTGTATGTACTTTTGTATAACCCAGAGGGACTCCTTCGATTTCCATGCAATTTCCCTTCTCTCTCCCTTTCCCTCCCACCTCTCCTCCCTGTTTAATGTTAATCTTCTTCTCATGCTCTTCGTCCCTATTCAGTTCTTAGTTACTCTCCTTATATCAAAGAAGACATTTGGCATTTGCTTTTTAGGGATTGGCTAGCTTCACTGAGCATAATCTGCTCTAATGCCATCCATTTCCCTGCAAATTCTATGATTTTGTCATTTTTTAATGCAGAGTAATACTCCATTGTGTATAAATGCCACATTTTTTTAATCCATTCGTCTATTGAAGGGCATCTAGGTTGGTTCCACAGTCTTGCTATTGTGAATTGAGCTGCTATGAACATCGATGTAGCAGTGTCCCTGTAGCATGCTCTTTTTAGGTCTTTAGGGAATAGACCAAGAAGGGGAATAGCTGGGTCAAATGGTGGCTCCATTCCCAGCTTTCCAAGAAATCTCCATACTGCTTTCCAAATTGGCTGCACCAATATGCAGTCCCACCAGCAATGCACAAGTGTACCCTTTTCCCCACATCCTCGCCAGCACTTGTTGTTGTTTGACTTCATAATGGCTGCCAATCTAACTGGAGTGAGATGGTATCTTAGGGTGGTTTTGATTTGCATTTCTCTGACTGCTAGAGATGGTGAGCATTTTTTCATGTACTTGTTGATTGATTGTATGTCCTCCTCTGAGAAGTGTCTGTTCAGGACCTTGGCCCATTTGTTGATTGGGTTGTTTGTTCTCTTATTGTCTAATTTTTTGAGTTCTTTGTATACTCTGGATATTAGGGCTCTATCTGAAGTGTGAGGAGTAAAGATTTGTTCCCAGGATGTAGGCTCTCTATTTACCTCTCTTATTGTTTCTTTTGCTGAGAAAAAACTTTTTAGTTTGAGTAAGTCCCATTTGTTGATTCTAGTTATTAACTTTTGTGCTATGGGTGTCCTATTGAGGAATTTGGAGCCCGACCCCACAGTATGTAGATCGTAGCCAACTTTTTCTTCTATCAGACGGCGTGTCTCTGATTTGATATCAAGCTCCTTGATCCATTTTGAATTAACTTTTGTGCATGGCGAGAGAAAGGGATTCAGTTTCATTTTGTTCCATATGGATTTCCAGTTTTCCCAGAACCATTTGTTGAAGATGCTATCCTTCCTCCATTGCATGCTTTTAGCCCCTTTATCAAATATAAGGTAGTTGTAGTTTTGTGGATTGGTTTCTGTGTCCTCTATTCTGTACCATTGGTCCACCCGCCTGTTTTGGTACCAGTATCATGCTGTTTTTGTTACTATTGCTCTGTAGTATAGTTTGAAGTCTGGTATCGCTATACCGCCTGATTCACACTTCCTGCTTAGAGTTGTTTTTGCTATTCTGGGTCGTTTATTTTTCCATATGAATTTCATGATTGCTTTCTCTATTTCTACAAGAAATGCCGTTGGGATTTTGATTGGCATTGCATTAAACCTATAGAGAACTTTTGGTAATATCGCCATTTTGATGATGTTAGTTCTGCCTATCCATGAACAGGCGCGGGGGGGGGGGGCAGCTCTGCCCCTCAGCAGGCCGCTGGGCCTGTTCTGTGGGTGGTCACAGTTCCGTCTACCTTGCCGGCGCAGGCGGAGGGGGCGACACTGCCTCTCAGCAGGCCGCTGCTCCTCTTCTGCCAGTGGGTCGCAGGCCCGCCTACCTTGCAGGAGTGATTGGAAGCTCTGTCCCGCCGCGGGCCACTGGGCCTTTTCTGTCGGTGGTCACAGTTCCGCCTACCTGGCAGGCGCGGGGGGGTCAGGGGCGGCTGTGCCCCTCAGCAGGCCGCTGGGCCTGCTCTGTGGGTGGTCACAGTTCTGTCTACCTTGCCGGTGCAGGGGGAGGGGGCGGCTCTGCCTCTCAGCAGGCCGCTGCTCCTCTTCTGCCAGTGGGTCGCAGGCCCGCCTACCTTGCAGGAGTGATTGGAAGCTCTGTCCCAAAGCGGGCCACTGGGCCTTTTCTGTTGGTGGTCACAGTTCCACCTACCTGGCAGGCATGGGGGGTGGGGGGCGGCTCTGCCCCTCAACAGGCTGCTGGGCCTGCTCTGTGGGTGGTCACAGTTCCCTCTACCTTGCCGGCGCAGAGGGAGGGGGCGGCTCTGCCTCTCAGCAGGCCGCTGGGCCTGCTCTGTGGGTGGTCACAGTTCCCTCTACCTTGCCAGAGCCTCAAATTAAATTTCTTAATGATAGCGATACTAAGCCAAGTGGCTTCAAATATGTAGCTAAATGATAAGAGAACGTTTATTCTCTACAGGCTGTATTGTTATTTATAAATTTATAATATTGTGTTTTGTATGATCTAATATTTTTTAAGAAAACGTCAACATAGAAAATAACTTTTTATTATTCATTCATTTATATAGCAAATAGTTTTAGAGAACCTGTGATGTTTTAAGCATTAATCTATTTCTGAAAGTACAAATATAAATAAACATGAATAAAGCCTTCATGATAAGCCCCACATACAGGTCAGTAGGAGAAGCAGATAAACACAATAGCAAACATAATGTAGTATTCTCAGAGTATTTGAGAATGGGGTACTTGGAAAATTGTATAGCATTCAAAAGAGAATAAACTCTATTACAATTCTTTTCTTAATAGCAAATATACAATTTTAAAAGTTCATGCTTCAAAATATCATATCTAAAATTAATGTATATGCATTTAAGATAAAATTTGCTTTATTTATTTTTGGAATTTGACAATTTATTTCTAAAAATGAATAAATTTAAATTTTCCATGGAAAAAAAGTCAGTCTTATTACATAATACTTTTTAATTTATTTGTATACTGCTTTAAACAGGGAAACTGTACTATACAAGGATGAGATACAGAAAAAGTTTTTACTTGGGGAAAACTTTCTCAAGTTAAAAGATAATGAGAAAGGGCCATATTCATTCTCCTATGCTTACATTAGACAGAAAAGCCTGCTATTTGATGGATGAAAAAAAGAAAACTCATGAACTTAACAACACTTACCCATGTCATTAACAAAGATGAAGAATAATAAGAAGATAAGTACATTGGATTTCCAAACATCAAAATGAAACAAAGGAAAAGTGAAATCTGAAAAATGAAAAAACAAACTCATGTTTTATAGTTATTACATGGAGAGTATAATTCAAACTTCAGAGGCAAACAGCCACTTCTAATGCAAATTTTGTTTGTATAAAGAAAATTAATAGTTCTTGGCCTAATTATAATAGAATTTTAAGTTACTATAAGGTACTAAGTATTAAACTTCAAGATCATAAAATCTATACAGCATAATATATTTTTTCTGTATCTGCTACTTGGATAAAGGAAAAATTAACTCTTATTTCTACTGCTTCAATAATAGAATAACATAATAAAAATATTTAAAGAATAAATATTAGTTTATTATTTTAGCAAATATTAGTTTTCCTAATCTTATTTTGATTACTACATAATTTGCATCACTTATGAAGCTTTATTCTTGTTTTATTTTAAAGGAAAATACATTTGTGAACTAAGATAAAAACCAAAGTTCAACAACATATAATTTCAATTGCAGAGTGTCATATTTATGCAAAGTTCAAAAATCTTAGGTATTAGAGGAAGACAATTGCAAAAGTAGTGACAATAATAAATAAAACAAAAATTTAAAAAATAAAAGTTTTAGAAAGCACAACACATCTACAGTTTAGTTGAAAGTATAATCAACTATAATACAAGATTTGTGACAGTTCAGTTTTCCTTCTAGATGCCATTGACATCATTATGTATTAAATACTACCAAAAGGAAGTATCCCATTAAAACAGAATTATTCATGTTTTATAAACTCTGAGAGCTTATTTTAATATTTGACTTATGAATATTTAAAATATTACCATATTCATATAAATGATCTTCCGAAATTTGCTTGGCTCAATGTACCCCACAACGTACATGGGAAATAATGAGGCTATCTGAAAAAAAATATATAAAATGCAAAATTGAAAAAATTATAATAAACAAATACTTCACTGTTGATAGGCAAAGTAAATATAAGAGGGGGAGAGCTATTTCTGATAACAACAGGCAAAGTAATTTGAACCACTTTCAACTAAGAAGTAGAATAGCTAAGAAAAAATATAAATATATATATGCATATATATGTAAAAATATAAAAAAGTATGTAAGTATGAAAACCATAGATTATTAACAAGGCAAATTAGAAATTAGCAAAATAAAACCAGGAAAAAAATGTAAATCTATAGTAATGAGCATGACATTTTGGATTCCTTTTCTCTCAGTTCCAACAGAGGCAGATGCTTCTAGCTGAGAGGCAGCTGAGAGACGAGTAAGCAGAGCAGGCATTTTAGGCAGATAGGACAGCAGGGTACACCAAGGAAGGAATGCTTGGTAGACTCCCAGACTTTGGTCTAAGAGTGAACCAGAAATCAAGCAGCCCTCAGAAAGACTGAAACCCACATTTGCATCATCTCAATCTAATTGCATGAAGATATTTCAGGATTGTTAGTGCCTTTCTTTACCTGTTGGAAGCAAATTTAATCTTGTCTGGAGAAAGTTCATATCAACTTAGCCTTAATTTAGCTCTATGCCATATCAAATAATTGCCAAGCATAAGAGGAGATAAGACAGTATCACAAAAACTGTAAAAACAGGTTGTAAAGGATCTAGATAAGACATCAGTAAACTTGTCAGGTAAAAAGCCAAATAGTAAACATGTTATGCTTTATGGGACACATATGGACCCTGTTGAATAGACTTCTTTTCTGTTTTAAAATTTTTTTCTGCAATACTTTAGAAATATAAAAACAATTATTAGCTTGCGAATCACTCAAAAACATGTCTAGCATCATCAAACATAAATTTAAATTATGCTTGACATGTTCAAGGAAATAATAGGATCTAATATTCTAAGAGAGCACAAGTCATTAAAAAAAAAGTGGGGGAAATCAAATTGGCTGAGCACCATGGTATACACTCATAATCCCAGCTACTCAGGTGGCAGTAAGATCACAAGTTCAAGGTCAGACTGGGCAACTTAACCCTGTCTAAAAATAAAAAATAAAAAATGGGATGTAGCTCAGAGATAGAGCATGCTTGGGTTCAATCTGCAGTACCACAAAAAAAGAAAGCCAAATGAAATTTAAAAACAATATTAAAATAATCAATATCAAGACATTAACAAATGAGTTTAAAAACAGGATAAACACAGCCAAATAAAAAATTGGGTGAACTAGAAGATGGGTCAGAAGAACACATTTGGAAGGAAGCAAAAAATGATAAAAGAACAAGAAATTTATCTGAACACAAGAATAAAGATCAGTTATGTTATACTTTACATCTTAGAGGAGGAAATTAGGTAGAAGCTATATTTAAAGGAATTATAGCAAGGAGCTTCCCCCAAATTTATAGGCAATATCAAGCAATGATTTGTGAAGTATCACAAATTCCCAAGGAAGAATAAAAACAAAATAATACAAAACAAACCTCCACAAAATCCTGAGGACATAGGCATATCATTTTAAAAGCTGCAGAAGAACAATAGCAAAGAGAAAACTCGTAAGAGCAACTGGAAATTAACATACTATAAAGCTATACTATAAATCAAGATTGAATATCAAATTGATCGATGGAACAAAATACAGAGTCTAGAAATAAACACACACAAAGGCAGGTAGCTAAACTTTGAGGAGAAAAGATAGTCTTTTCAGCAAATGGTACTGGAATAACTGTACATTCAAATGCAAAGAAAAGGATTCTAGATAGGGACCTTACATCAAAAAATTAGCTTAAAGTGGATTTTAAACCTGAAGGTATGAATCAAAACTATAAAACTGAAAATACGGGAGAAAATTTAGGTGGACCCTGGGTTTGATGATGAGTTTTTAAATATAACACCAAAGCCAATATCCCATGAAAGAAAAAAATTGTAAACTGAATTTCATTAAGCTAAAAACTTCTGCTCTGCAAAAGACACTATTAAGAAAATTAAATAATAAGCTAGAGACAGAGAAAATCTTTGCGAAACACATATACAATTCAAATAGCAGAATTCCAAAATACACAAAAAACTTCCAAAACTAAGCAAGAAAACAAACAACCCAATTAAAAATGGGCAAAACACCTTTTGAAGAAACACTTCACCAGAGAACAAGGTGAAGAAGAACATATAAAGAAGAACAAGAACATATAAAGATATTCAACATCGTATGCCATTAGAGAATTGAAATTCAAACAATAAAGAGATATCACTGTTGCTTTAATCAGCTTGTGCATTGCTGTGACCAATATATATGACAAGAACAATTTAAAGGAAGAAAAGTTTATTTTGGAGCTCCTAGTTGTAGAAGTCTCAGTTCAGACAGTCAACTCCATAGCTCTGGGACCAAGGTGAGGCAGAACATTATGGAGGAAGGACATTCCGGAGGAAAACAGCTTGGGACCTGGCAACCAGGAAGCAGAAACAGAGCTCTGCTCACCAGGGACAAAATACAAACCCTAAAGGCAAACCCCCAGTGACCTACTGCCTCCAGACACACCCTACAGTTACCACCAAGTTAATCCATATCAGTGAATTAATCCAAGGTAGGTTACACTTCTCATAATCTAATCACTTTACCTTTGAAAATTCTTACACATTTGTGAGCCTTTAAAAAATTTTTTTTTTAGTTGGAGATGGACACAATACTTTTATCTATTTATTTTTTATGTGGTCCTGGGGATTGAACCCAGTAGCCTCACACATGCTAGGCAAGCGCTCTACCACTGAGGTACACCCAAGTCCCCACACGAGCTTTTTGGGGGCACCTTATACCTAAACCATAACAAATGATTAGGACAGAATGGCTAATATTCCAAAACTTATAGAATCAGCAATTTCTTACAAAGTTAAACATAACCTTACCCCACAATCCAGTAATTGCCTGCCTGGATACATACCCAACATTTGAAAACTTATGTCCACTCAAAAACCTGAATACAAATGTTTATGATAGCTTTATTCATAATCACCAAAGCCTAGAAGCAGCCATAATGTCCTTCAATAGGTGAATGGATAAACCAATTATGGTGCAATTATATATTTAAATATTATTCGGCAATAAAAATGAGCGATCAAGCCATGAAAAGACATAGAGGAATCTTAAAGGCATATTGCTAAGTAAAATAAGCCAGTATGAAAAGACTACATAATGTATAATTCCAATGATATGACTTATAAAAAAGTAAAATTATACAGTTAAAGTCATTGCCAGGTGTTGTAGATAGGGTTGTAGGGTTGAATAAGTGAAGCACAAGGAATTTTTTTAGAATGTTGAAAATATTTTATATATTTGTTATGGTTTGGATGTGATGTGTCCCCCAAAAGCTCATGCATGAGACAACACAAGAGGGTTTAGAGGTAAAATAATTGGGTTACGAGAGCCTTAACCCAGTCAATGAATGAGTTTCCTGATGGGTTTAATTGAGTGGTAACTGAAGGTGGGTAAGGTGTGGCTGGAGGAGGTGGGTCATTGGGTGGCATACTTTTAGGGTATATATTTTATATCTGGCAAGTGTATCTTGTATCTCTCTCCATGTTGTGATCAACATGTGGGCCACTTCCCTCTGCTATACTCTTCTGCCATGATGTTCTGCCTCACCTTGAGCCCTGAGGAATGGAGCTAGCTGTCTGTGGACTGAGACCTCTGAAACCATGAACCCCAAATAAACTTTTCCTCCTCCAAAATTGTTGTTGTCAGGTCTTTTAGTCACAGAAGTGAAAAATCTGACTAAAACAATACTATAATGGTGGATACATATCATTACGCATTTGTCAAATCTCATAGAATTGTATAAAGAAAGAGAACCTTAATATAAATTGTGACCTTTAGTAATAAAATACAAATTTTAGTCTATTAGTTCTAACAAATGTACTATATTAATGCAAGATGCTAATTATAGGGGATATATGATTATAGGATATAATATATGGTTGTGTGGGGTGGGATGAAGTAGGGATGAGGTGGGAAGACTGAGAATGCCCTCAAAAACAAGATTTACAACTAACTTCTTAACAGAAATGAATCAGAAGATAATGGGATGATATTTTCACAACACTGAGAAAATAAATTTTAAAAATTCCCAACCTTGAGTTCTATACCAGAGATAATTACCTTTAAGAAAGAAGGCAAATTGAACATTCTCATACAAGAATGCAAAAACTGTCACCAACAGGTTCACACTAAAGGAAAATACTAATGAGTGCTCTTTGGACAGCAAAAAGATCCTCTGTGGAAGCTTGGAGACAGAAAGCATTCAAGAGGGAAATAAACATGTGAAAAATCTACTTAATCTTATAAAAGTTAATTATATAAAATAATACAGATGCTATGAGGTTTAAAAATAACTAAATATGTGTGTATACATGTAAACACATATAGCATACATATATGCATATATATATGCAAATATATATGGACATACACACATAGCAAAAAACAAATGGCATTTAATCCAGAAGGAAAATAAATTGATTTAAAGTGTTTTAAGGTGCTTGTATTATTTGGGAAGAAGTGATAGTATTAATTTATACTGTAACTCAAAAATAAATGTTTTAATTTCTAAGGTTATCTTTAAAAGAGTGAAAAATAGTATGACTAAACGAATAAACACAGTAGGAATGTGGAACGATAAAAGCATTCAGCTGGCCAGATGGGAAAGAGGTGTATAAATATCACATAGCAAATGGGGCAATTACAAAGAAACTGCCTTAGAAAGATGATAAATTTGAAATTAATTATCAATAATTACATCATCATCAATGGACTGAATAACACAATTAAAGACAGTATTATTTAACTAGATTTAAAAAAAACTAATTACATCTAAAATGTAAAGATGCAGAAAAATTTGAACATAAAAAAAATGGTGAAAGATCAATATAAACACTAAAAGAAAGGTGATATGGCTCTATTATAACAGAAATATAGGCTTTAAGGCAAAAACACCACTACCAATAAATAGGCACTTTAATGAAAGTAATATATGATAATTATGTACATAATAATAATGTATCAAAATGTTTAACACTTTACAGAACTAAAAGAGATATAGACAAATCTACCATAAGATTTTAACACAGACCCCCTCTATTAATTGAAATAAGCATACAAAAATCATGCTAGAATATTTTAATAATTAACAAAATTAGCTTGATTAACCTAACTAGAACTATACACTTAAGTTTAAAATACACCATTTCTTAAATGCATGAGAAATAAAAATTCCTGGGGACAAGTCTAAGAAACAAAAAACTATGAAGCATTATTGAAATAAACTGAATAAGAAATTAAATAAGTGAAAGTGTATATCATGTTGTTTGTTTGAAGACACATCATTTAAGAATTTCAAATTTTTTATTTAATAAAGTGATACTTTTCTTCAGCCTAAAGGAAAGGAAAACATACAGAATCCCCTGAGATTTTACCTAAAAAGCAGCATCCCAGAAAGCAGGTTTTAAGGGGCATTGGGACAAAGTTGCTTTCTGTTTGCTTGCTGTTTGAATACAGTTTATTTGATAAAATAGTTGTAGGTGTCAATAGAAAGATCAATAGAAAGATCAACCTGGTGATGAAAAAATTTACTAATTATGAAAAATGTAACATGTAGGAAAGCAACTAGGTAATAGATTAATTAGTTTTTTTACAAGTATATGTAATCTTCAAATCATTATAAACTTGTAAAGAGGGAGGTTGATATTTTTAATAAGAAAAGCTGCATCTACTTCCAGCAGAAGGAACATCAAATCCTCTCAGGGGTGGGGATATTTTGGTGGCTTCTTTCAGTTATTATAGATCAAACAGGTACACACTGTTTTTTGAGCAGAAGGTTTCCTTCACTTAAAAAAAGACTATCATTACTGAGACTCTTGATGTGTGAGATTTGAAGTTCAATGAAGAGGGAGGAACTGGGAAAACATGTCGTATAGGAACCAGGAGTTTCCCCAAGTGGAAACCTTTTTCTGAGATATACTAATATTTGAACATCTCTGAAAACCTAGTGTAATCTTAACTTGGTTAAGCTAGCAAGATAGAACCCCAAAGAACTTGTAAAACACACAAAGAGTATGGGCTGGAAGACTCTGAACTTATGAGCTCACTTAACACTAAAGTCCCAGATCCTGTCCTAGGCAAAGGCTAGTTCTACAAAGGGCATGTGGGTGATGCTGAACCACCTTTGACTTGACTCAGATATTTTAGCATTTCCAGTGTGCTATGAGACAGAATGGCTGCATTCCCCTTGAAAAGAGTTGGGCCATTCCCAAGGGTAAACAGGGAATCCTGGTCCATTTTATTATGAAGCACCCAGAATATATGGCTGTTCCAAAGCTTTTTGTCTTTAAGAAGGTACATTTGAGTTTTTTTTCTTTCCATGCCCATCAACAGGTCTTCTTCAAATCACCAGGAAAGCTTTAGGACAGAAAATTTAACGTGCCAGACGTTTCTCTTTAGAGAAAGAACTCACAGAAGTCCAAACAGCAGCCTTACCCCCAGGTTACATCTCAGAAGCAAAGAATCAGATACACATTAGGTAGATGTAGGAGCCACCTGACCTACAGGAGCCTCAATATGGGAAATGCCATTAAAAGAGCCTCCTTACTCAAGAAAGCTCAGATAGTCTTTGTTCACTTAAGATTCTTCCCAACTTAGTGCAATTAGGCAGTCATCAAGCAATGTGCCTAGTAACATCATGCTAGAAAGTTCTTATGCAGAAGAGGAAAGTGCTTTGTAACAGCAGTGTGGTGGCATCTGCCATAGCACACAGAATCCCTGATAGTGACGAATCCTTCAGATTCAAGCAGCCGAATTTCTGGGCCAGGAGTAAGGATAGAACATCTACTATTGATCCTTGCCTACATAAATTGTTGACAATAGAAGGAGTAACTTCAAAGAGAGCAGTAGACATTCTTGTTTTAAACAGGATGGGGTCATGAAGTCACATTTAAATATTCAAAAAGATGTGACCTAATTTTGTACTCCAAAGAATCAGCTATATAGTGAGTGAAAATGAAATTGAAAACCAGTTTTGTATAAAATATCAACACTCTCTTCTTTGAAAATAATTCACATTTCTATCATTTCTGATTTTACAGTTTCTTTTCTGCAACTATTCCTTTCTCTTTCCTTAGTCATAACAATCACTCCTACATGCCTGGAATTCCCCAATAAAATATAATATAGAATACTTAGTTGCCAGAACTAAATCACAGTTTCTCAGTGTCTTAGAATGATAACATCTATGGTCTTACCATTCCCAATATTCTACATTTCTACGATTGTCTTTCATAATATTTTCCTTTGAAAAAAGGAAACTTTTAATCCATAACTCTCATTTCTCAGACAATATGGGTTGGAGACATGAACTAATTTTAGCCTTAATCTAAGACACAATAGAGAAGAATATTTCCAGAAAAACAAAAGATTTATTTCATTAGTATGAACAAACAAAACTCTACACATTAGTTAAAAAAATAAAAGCCTCAGATATCCTGAGTGCATAGGAAAACACTAAGGGATTCAAACCTACCCAAAGAGTTTCTTAAAAAGTTTCATCAGTCCCACTGGATTAACGAATTTGCTGACAATGAAATGTTGCTTATTAAAAATATATTCCATTATGTTGGCATGTGCAAAAAAATGAAAACCAGAGGGTAATTTCTGTGTAACAATCTGTAAGGAAGTATAGCAGTGGAAATACTTGAAACATTCTTTAAACATGCAATGTCAATTGAGTTGAGGTTATAATTGCACTTTTTGTGGACAATTGGCAGCATGGGGCCTCTTTGCAGAATTTTTCACTTTCAATTTACAGGATATTATTATTATCAGTGTTTGTTAGTTAGGTGGAAAGGAACCCTAATGAAAAATCCTAGTATCATGAAATTTCATCAGAACTGTTCTTTTATTTTCTCTACCCATTTCAGTTTCTTGACATTAGTTACTTAGATGTTTTGGGAAACAGGATATCTCAATTCCTGTAAGTGATATCATGATAAAAGCTCTGAGAAATGGTTCCTACTCAAATTCTGCTCTTTAGACAAAATGGTCAGAATTCAGCTACCCTAGAAGTAGAAACCCTACACTAGAAGTAGATCATAAAGAGCAGAAAAGACTTTAGCTATCTTGTGATGTGGCACCAAAATGAGTTGTAAGGCAAAAGAAAAATACACAGGTAGATAGATACACAGATGTTATCTCAGCAACCAAAAAGAAAATTTGTTAACAAATTATAAATCCTTTACATTTTCATCACTAATATTCATCAAACTAACCAATACACTAATAGAATGTGGAATTAAATCATTGTAAATTATGCATTTATTATACACTCATAATTATTCTATATTTTAAAAGTCTTTCAGGGCATAAATATAATCACATGTTAAAATTCCTACAGAAAAAAAATGTTACATTTAACTTAAATTAGTTTAAAATCATCTTACCTGTGTAAAAAGTATAAACTGAGCAAATTGCCAGGGAAGCATAAAAGCAATATTGGAAGCACAGAGTGCAATGAAATGTTTTCCATTATTGTGTGAGGTCCTTAAATGGAAAGAAATGATACCAGTAAGTCTTACCACAAACATAGTCAATCATTTTTTAAAAATAAAGAAAAAGACTACTTGCAAAATAATAAAATCTAAATGATCCCCTTACCTTTGAAAAAACAGCTAACTTTGGAACTCAGTTTACTAAAAAGAACTAAAAATGCCTTGAAAATGCCCAGTGTAGAATAACTATAATTAAAGAGTTTTAGGAACAATATTTCAAAATTTATAATTAGATAAAATATTTTAAATATAAAAGTTTATTTCCCTGTAAATATGCCTGAAATTCAGAATTTAATATCCCAGGGAAGGTCAGAGATAGGACATGACAATAATCTGGCATGCCTCACAATGTTTTTCCTATATGCATACACATAATGTTTATATACTACTATTTTTATGTTTCAGAAAATAATGAGGAAAATTATAAGTGCTAGTGGGGAAATAAGTTAACAACTATGGAATCATTTTAAGGCAAAAAAAAATTTAAAAGAACAAATTAAAAATAGTTCCAGAATGTAGTTAAATCTTTATGGTTGAAGTTTAAATTGTCTGTTCTGCAATACTAAAACACATTGGTAACCAATTCCTTTTATCACAGAAAAGTTGAGTATATTTAAGAATCTGATAAAAGAAATACATATATTTTATGTAAATAATAAAACAGCAACAGTTCCTTTTGTAAAAGCTGTACTGGGTTTTGACAAATCCTTATATAAAAGTAGATAACTTTTCAAAAACAGCATTTAAAATATAATGTCAGTAATATTATCACAAAATATTCATTAAGCACTTGGTGATCTTGCATTTTATCAAGCAAAATCATTTTTTACTAAGGTGTAGAATATAGCACATGCCTTCAAGAATAATTTTAAAATATATAAGTAGGACATTTCAATCCAGGAACCCCTGTCTGGACAGATTAATGTAATTTCAATAAATCTTCCTGGTAATTTAACTGGTAAGGGTTGGCGGAGGTACTGGCGGTTTCCTTCACTATAATCTTTCAGAGGAGGTGATGTACCAACCAAACCTACACAAATCTGTATATAGGAAGCAGACTCCCAAAGACAAATTCAACACCAAGATAAACTTGTCAGGTATGTGACACATCAGAGGTTAGTCTGCTCTCTCTCAAGATTTGTAAGCACATCTGGATGCATTAGTCGCCTTCATTTAATCAGCAATCATATAAGGCCTTAAATATTTGCATGGGAATATGCTAAGTGCTCTGTGGTTAAAGTACAGTACGGCATAGTCTGTGCTTGGGTATACTTTAAAAAATATATATATGTATATATTTACACACATACATATATGTAGATGCAGACATTTGTGTACATAAACATGATTCATAAAGTAATACTTTTAAGAAAGAAAGAAGATATATGTACACAGACGATTTTCATATAAGATGGAAACTGCCAGGGATTCGAAAATGAAGCAAAATAAGGCTCCCTCAGAGTTTGGAGTGATCATTATTTCATTCAGTGAGATCTTACCACTAACATTCTATCAAACTTATTCCTATGACAGTTATTTATAGTACTCTGCTACTAATTTTATATTGTTTCTCGGAACTCTTAAATTTCTGAAATGCTTCTAAACTTAATCCCAGCCAAAACTGTGTCTAAGAAAAACAGCTGAGATGACACTGGCTGATTGCTAGAAACACCATTAAGAAATAGGGGGGAATATATATATATATATATATATATATATATATATATATATATATATATTTCTGAATAGGGGGGAATATATATATATACATATATATATATATTCCCCCCTATTCAGAAATTATAACACATAATCTTTATCTAACACAGTATTTCCCAAATTTTTACACAGAGCACATTTTTCATGGCACCTGTATTAATGCTCCATCAAGACCACATATTGGAAAAAAGATGGGTCAGAATACAAAAATTCAGTCCTTGCAAACTATATATAAACACATAGATTTTGATCTATGAAGATATAATGTATTTATCTAAAACCTGTAGCCTAAACTCTTAAATTGAGATTAATTTTTACATAGTAATTTTTAGGTTATCATCTTAACTCTATACTAATTTTATTTATTTATTCATTCATTCATTCATTTATTTTTATTTTGGGCAGGGGGAAGTACTGGGGATTGAACTCAGGGGCACTTGACCACTGAACCACATCCCCAGCCTTATTTATTTATTTATTTATTTTGTATTTTATTGAGAGAGAGTCTCACTGAGTTGCCTAGTGCCTTGCTTTTGCTTAAACTGGCTCTGAATTTGTGATCCTCCTGCCTCAGCCTCCTGAGCTGCTGGGATTACAGGTGTGCACCACCACGCCCAGCTCTTTATTTTTAAAACAACTTAAAAAAATCACCTATATTTGGTAATTACAATTCAATATATTGAGTAAATTTTTATAAACATAAGTTAGAATTTATTTCATTTTCTTGTATAAATGAAAATTACCTGAGAATCATAGTTAAAATATACATCTGAAGAACAAGGAATGGATATGAAAAACTTTCACGGAGAGGTGGTGTCCACATTACACGGGTAGCCTGAAATCAGTAAAATGCTCAATTTATGTCATGTTCCATTACAACAAACATTATTAATTTAAAACTTAGGGGTTGGCTTACTTAACAAATTTTAATACTAGGCTCACTAGATCCTATTTCTGTGTCTAAGAAAAACAGCTGAGATGACACTAGTAGAGCTTCTCAGGTTTGGGAGCTCACTTCCACACAGCCATTAAGTAGAGAGTGATTAACTAACTACCTATTCCAGAAATCAGTGAAAGATACTTCAGACCAAGCACAAGGAAACCCAAAGGCCAAAGAAGAGGGTAGGGATAGGGACTGTGAGACTCCTGGACCAGGTCCACGTGCTAGTCCTGCAGGCTTGATCCTGGAGTTTCAGGCTTTGAGATGTGTACCTTTCCAAAAAATATGTAATGTCACCTAGGGCATTTGTAAATACCAAGATACCACTGAATTTATGACATACATCTTTAAAAGAGTTTACTGCAAATTTTAAAAACTGAAAAAAATCTTTTACATGTTGATCACTAATATTCATCAAACTAACAGACACACTAATAGAATGTGGAATTATATTATTTTCTTAAATCATACATGTACATAAGCTTTGTAATTATCCATATTTTGAAAATTTGGGGGTGTCTTTCTCAAACTAATGCATATAATAAATTATTCATTAAATTTTCGTATATACTTTAACACTTTCTAAGACGTATAGGTATATGAGTCAGAATTATAAAAAAATTTTATCAAAGATTCTGAGGGCTGGGGATTTAGCTCAGTTGGCAGAGTGCTTGCTTTGCATGCACAAGCCCCTGGGTTCAATCCCCAGCTTCACAACTAAAAAAAAAAAAATGAAAAAGAAAAAAAAGAAATTATGGAAAGAATTTAAACTTTTTAATTTGCAAGAGTCTTTTATTGTTGTTCTTCTAAGAAATCAAAATTGTAAACCTTCAAAGATTAATTATGTTAAAAAAGTCAACTTGGGCTAACAATGTAGCTCAGGCAAGGCAGAGCACTTGCCTGGCATATGCAAAGCCCTGGGTTCATCCCCATCACTACACATGAACGTGTGTGCACGTGCACATACACACACACACAAAGTCAACTCATACCACCAGCTGTCTGTCACACTCAAGTAAAAGGCTTTTTATGTTAACAGATACCTGAATGACAAGGCATTTTTTTTGCTTTAAGTTAATATATTTGAAGCATTTTATGTGCAATTTTTATTATTCCCTTATATAACTTATTAACCCACTTACAACAGATAAAAAGACTTTTCTCCCATGTAATCTGTGCCATTCCAAAAGTTAGCAGTAAGATTCTTTTTTATTGCCACATCTTTGGCATCTAACGGAGTTTGTTACATGGTATATACTCAATATTTTGTCAAGTGAATCAATGATATTTCAAGTAAGTTTCTATGAGCTCTTTTTTAGGCAATTTATGTTGTTCTGGGATGAATTAGTAAGCTAATTTCTATCTTAAATTTAGCATTTGTGTTTGAAAACGGACCATGACATGATAGAAAGAAGTGAGACAGTTGGGTGGCAATGCCTCAAGTGAATGTCATCAGGCCTGAGGCCCCTTCCATCCTTGGATATATGCAATGGCATAAGGTTTCAGTTATGCAAGATGAGTTAGTCCTATAGCTCTGCTGTTGTACAACATTTTATTAATGTCACATACTTAAAAATTTTTTAGGAGAGCAGGTCTTATGTTCAGTGTTCATGACAATTAAAAGTTAAGTACATATTTTATAAATAGAATGGAAAGTGAGGATCTAAAACTACACAGATATAGAATGAGAAACCCAGCTACATCAGGTAGTGAATCTTGGATAAGAAACTAATCTAAAATTCAGTTCCATAATGTGTATGGTGAGGAAAAAAACTACCTCCAAAGATTCGTCAGAAATAAACAAAGTAAAGTGAAGTGCCTGACTTGACAAGTACAGTGTTTCCTCTTTTCTACAGAATATACGTGAATATTTACTAAAACCCATGCAAGATATTTCATATATTTAGTTCTAATGATTTAAAACTTTAAATCAACACAATTAAAATATCAACTTACAACATAAAGTTCTTTAAAATATTGCAAAATTACAAATAATATGAAATTACATAATATTTTAATGATATTTCTTTGTTCCTATACAGACCCTAATTTTTTCTAAAAACAAACCTCTCCATGGTTGAAAAAGAAGCACAGTACTGTAATTAGACCTCCTAACTGAGTCCCACTGTTTTATAAAAAAAAAAAGAGCATAGTTACAATTTATGTATTGTAAGTTTTCCACAAAACTATATTAGAATTTTAAATCATGGTTATCCATACTTAAAACATAATAACAGTAAGCCATTACTTGTAAAAAAAAATTTAAATACTCAGGTAGTCAAAGTTTTAACCTTGAATGTATAAAGAGACAAAACAAACATATAACAATCTAAATTTTAAAATTTATTATATTTAAATATTTTCTGAATGATGATATAAGGTCTGAACATGATTATTTTTTAACAAACAGGTCAGCATTTCAGAGTCTGTATTCTTCAAAAAAATGCAAATGGAGATAAATTTTTGTCTTTTGAAATTGGATTTAAGGGACTGAAAGATGATACAAGAATCTAATAGCTTCATTTGATAGTAATTTCAAATTATATAAGTCACTGCAATTATTCTATTGTTGAATCTGAAGTAAGCAGTAATCAGAATACAAACATCAGATCAAGGATGGCTAATAATCATCAAAGATTAAGAGCCATTTCTTTTCTTTTTTTTTTTTTTTTTGGCAGAGGGTACCAGGGATTGAACTCAGAGGCACTCGACCACTGAGCCACATCCCCAGCCCTATTTTTTGTATTTTATTTAGAGACAGGGTCTCTGAGTTGCTTAGCACCTCACTTTTGCTGAGGCTGGCTTTGATCTCACAATCATCCTGTGGGTCCTGGGGATGGATGTGGCTCAGTGGTTGAGTGCCCCTGAGTTCAATCCTTGGTACCAAAGAAAAAAACAAAAACAAAAATAGGAAAACTAATGGGGAATCATCTGCTATAGACAGACTCACTAAAGGAAATTTAAAAAGGAAGAAATTGAAAGAAGCAGTGTGAGAAACAGAGAATTCATTCTAATAGGAACTAGGAGCATGTGAATGAATCAAACATTTGAAAACAAAAACAATGATAACATGGGCTGCTATGGAAAGGTAATAGGAATACTAAACTAGGGTACTAACATGTAAGATGTGAGAGGCTGTTTTGAAATATTGTCCTAAAATACTTCACATTGATCAGAAGGGAAAAGATGTCAGTTCATTTTAGACTTATCAAGTTAGATGTGCATGTTAACATTTTATGGTTAATTACTAACGGAATAGAAATAATCTACATTCCAAGTTAATGCCAGTGAAGGAGGGTGGCCAAAAATTCCCCAAAATTTCTATTTATTTTGTTGCTCATATGCTATAATTCCTAGTCTCTTCACAGTTTTGGTGACATTTTTATAGCCAATATTGGTTATATCTATGTATTTCTTAAAGACTAGTGACTATTAATGTATTTGGTATTCTAGAACTTTGTAAGCAATTTACAGAGACATATTTGCTATTTTTATGGACTTTTCTTCATGCTTACAAGATGATTGCTGGAACTCCAAGAATCATAACTAAGTAAAAGCAGGAAAAAAATAGAGAAGGGGCAGCTGAATTTGTCCTTTTGTGACAAAGACAATGCTACACTAGCTGTAACCATGGCTGATTTTGCCCTATTTTCCACTGTGAAAAGTTAGTTCATATGGCTCTCCCAAGAACTATGGAGAGTGAGGGCAAAACACATGAGTGTTATAATTAATTCCAACTATCATCAGAGACTGAGACCACTGCTACTCCAAATAAAACTGTGGTACTTCTATCAAAAAACACAGGCTAACAAATGTAAGGGTCCATCATAAGTGATGTATAGTTTTTTTTTTTCATAGCTATCTTAATCTCACATTTACAGAGATTAAAATATGAAATAATTTTGCTATTAATGCCAACCAGAGTTCCCCTCTAATGCTATAGTAATTTTATGCATAAACTAGAGACATTTTCATTAAAAACTTTGTTAAGAAATCTTAAGTTAGTTTTTAAAATCCCCACACAGATAAAAGAGAGGCCTTTAAAGATATTTCTGTGACATTTTCAGTTTCTGGTTGTATTAATAATGGTTAAGCCTCTGAAAACAATAAAATAAATGTACAAACTTTCCTTCTACTAATCAATTAACCTCATTAATTGTCCTCTTCATTTAATCAAGAAACATCAGCCAGTCCTTATAATCTCTTTGTAAGATCTTTTAATTCAGTAGTCTTACCTCAGGTATGTACCATATATGAAGAATAATCCCATCATTAGTCCATTTAAAATAAAAATCACAGCAACATAAAAGCAAGCGGGGTCTCCCAATCCTTTGAAAAAACACAAATTATTCAGTATTTAATGAACAAATGTTATAAACCAATTGGGCATACTTTTCTTAGTGCTTTGTAATCAAGAGCTCATGAATCTGATGAAAGCATATGCTTTTCTAAATACCTGCTTTCTTTAATAGTTACAATAATCTTCACCCTTGTACATGTTTCTTTTTTTTTCTTTCCTTAGTACGGGGAATGGAGCCTAGGGCCTCGTGTGTACCAGGCAAACACTCTAACACCAAGCTACATTTCCAGCCTCTATAATGTATTATGTAGTTACATTTATGCTTTATTATAGTCACACTTATACTATGATGATTTGTTGGAATTTCACACTAGTTTGTCTGCAACTCTCTACAGAACCACTTCATCAATTCCAAGAAAAAAGCCATATCTTGTTATACTAATTCATGTCTTTTGCCAAGCTCTGGGATGAATAAATATAGTACCCCACCTCAAGGAGCAACTTAAGCCTATATGAGATGATCCAGTTATTTGAGTAATTATTGTATGTAGCAAGAATATTAACATATCTTGTATGTTAGATTGTGTTTTTATGTATAGCACTTTGTGTGTTTTATAATCATCATTTCATATAATTCTTAGATGAGATTTATAAGATTATTGGGATGGAAGTATTCTGTGTTGATATTGAAAAAAAAACAGAACATAGAAAATTACTTGCTAAGATGTGCTCAACTTGTTGGATCTAAAATCTGAAGTCTGGTCCATGTGATTCCTTCTTATTCCTGTTCACTCCTTTCTGCCCACTGTAATAACTTCTCTGGTTTTACACACCTCTCTTCAATGCTAGACCACCCTAGCCTGTCACATGCTCTCAATCTGCTTCCACTTCCTTCACCTCAGTGATTATCTATGTAGAGATGACTCCAAGTCGATTCCAGAATGCTCTTCTTGTTCCTAACGTTATACATCCAGGTAGCCACTTGACACCCCCACTTTGAGGTCTCTCAATTACCTCAAATTAAATATCCACAATGAAATGTAGTGATTCAACCTGCTACTTTTCATGTTTCCTATCATTCAAAGGAACTCAAGCTACAAACCAAGTAGGGTTACATGGCTCTTCATTCTCCCTCTTCTCTCCCATCAACTGCCAAATCATGTTTATTCTACTTCCAGAATCTCTCTGAAATCCAGGGATTTCATAATATTTTTCTACAATTGCTTGCTGAGACCACAGCCTTCTTTTACCTGGCCTTACTGAATCCACCTGCACCTTATATTAATGGCCTTTCCATATAGCTGTCAAAGTCATGTCTAACATGTGAACCTACTAAAGTTCTTCAATGGATAAAGTACAAAATTCTTAACCAGCATCTGGCCCATCATGATCTGACCCTTGCATGCATTCCCAGCATCATTTCACACCAATTTTCTTCTCTATCTCTGTGTTCCACTTCTAGTCTTTCAGTTCCCTCTTGCCTCCGGACTTTTGAATATGTTGGTCCCTATTCTTGAAGCATTTCTCTCTATTTCTCTTGAAATATTTCTCACTCCTAACCTCAGCAAACTTATTTTCTCATTTGTAATATTTACCACAGTTCTAACACTTAACAGAACTCTAATAGTATACAGTTTATGAGATCAAGGACACGTGTCCACTAGTCAATTGCTATGTCCCAAGTGTCAAACAGTAACCTGTTTACTTATTGTGAACTTAGTAAGCATTTCTTGTGTTCCTTATAAGGTGATGGTTTTTCATCACTCAGAAAAAGTTATATTTCTAATTGATTGAGTCTTTTATTTAATGAGGCATTTTCTCCATTCCTTTATGTTGTAAAAAACATAATTTTCCCTCAGACAGCAGTTTAGTTTTAGATTTTATAAATGTCATGTAAAAAGAATCAGTAAAATATTAGGGAAATGTAGATTTATTTTTTATCTTAAGAGCTGAATGTTAAATGTAAATACATCTATACAAATGCATTTGTAAAATATAGTCAAGTAGTCATTCTGTGGAGAATCTAAAGAAAAAAGCAACTGTAAAAATGTTATGCAAGTAGATGTATATGACTTTGAACTAAAGTCTTTAGGGACTTGGATTGTAAAAGTGCTAGATTACAAGTATCTTAAATAGAAATGACTATTACATGTCCTGAAAAACTGTTTAGATAAATTCCAAAAATGTTTCTTTGACAAAGACACCAGTGTAGAAGATACATAGGAAGAGTTTAATTAGAATTATTCATGGACTGTGAGCACACAATAAAACAATATTTCTAATAAAATCAAGTATTGTATTAGAAATATTGTATGTGTAAGTATGTGTGCATAATTAAAGTTATATAATAACTATTACTAGCATTGTTGAATTGTTTAATCTATCCTCAACATTTACTTATTGAAGTCTTTATTTTTCTTCAGTATTATCTCATTCTGAAATGGAAAACTGATTTTTACTCAAGATTGCTTTACACTGGCCAGATGCGGTGGCTCATGCCTATAATCTCAAAGGCTGTGGAGGATGATGCAGAAGGATCATGAATTCAAAGCTAGCCTCAGCAACTTGGCAAGGTCCTAAGCAACCCAGCAGTACCCTGTCTCTATATAAAAATTGGCTGGGGATATGGCTCTACAGTTAAGCACCCCTGGGTTCAATCCCCAGCACCAAAAAAAAAAAAAGAAAAAGAAAAGAAAAAAAGATTGCTTTACATTGAAGTGTATTAATACTCAAATAAGGAAATACAGAGCCTTCTCAGAAATCTACTTGAAAGTGTAAAATACTTATTGGGGTAAGACATTTCTAGGGTGTTCTAGAGGAAAAAAATAATCACAGTAGTTTACAGTAATTAAAAATGAGTCCTAACACTCTGAGATGTTTATGGAAACAGCAAGGACAGCACTGCAGCATTTTAGGAAGAAACATGCCTTCACAGCTTTGAACTTCGTTAAGAGGTTCTACTCTGGTGACATTCCAGCAGGTCTTAGTTTCTACCCCAAATAAATCCGTTATTCCCACGAATGTGCGATACCAGTAGGCTATGATTACCTATAAAAGATAAAAACAAAAAGAGAGAATGGAAGAAAATATACTCTCTTACAATAATAATTCTTCCAAAACACCAATTTATGATGGTCACCTTTGACATTATAAATATTCACAAGTTTATTTAAACCATTGCATCTAGGAAACAGTCATTTTAAAATTATATATGTAATATTTATATAATTCACTATAAAATCAAGTCTAAAAATATATAATTAAAATAAAACTAATAAAAAATACTAAGTTTTACAGAACATTTAATAACATTTCATTTAGGTCTCTGAATTTATTTCCTCATTAAAATATATAAAATATAGTTTATAGCAGCACAATTCACAATAGCCAAGTTATACAATGAGCCCACAGAGCCCTGCAGTAGATTAATGGATTAAAAAAATGTGGCATATAGACATTGTGGAGTTCTACTGAGTTATAAAGAAAAATGAAATTATGTCCTTTGCTGGCAAATGGATGGGATTGGAGAACATCATGCTAAGTGAAATAAGCCATAGTCAGAAAGTTAAGGGTTTTTCTTTCATATGTGGAAACTAGAGAAAGAAAAAAATAAATAAAAATAGGATCCCACAAAAATAGAAGACCAACAGAAAAAAGACAGTGAATAAAAGGAAAGGGAAAGTGTTAGAGTCTATAAACAAGTCAGGATGGCGCCTGGCAAATGTTAGAGTCTGTAAACAAGTCTGGATGGCGCCTGGCATTTTGCCAGAGGGAGTGGTTAATGTTAGGGTCTGTAAACAAGTCAGGATGGCACCTGGCATTTTGCCAGGGGGAGTGGTTTGTGAGGTGGCGCCAGCGAGCCATTAAGTGTGATTTCTTATTGGTTGACTGTTGTATCTAGTTTATGTTAATTAAGATAAGCTGTGTGGAATGTATAAATACCTCTGTTGTCCTACAATAAACGGCTCCTACTCCTGCTGTATCAACGTACACAAGTTGTTCGTCACCCCCCGGTTATTTTGCCCAGCCAGCCGGGCTGCGGCAGGAAAGGGGAAGTATGTACTCAGGAATAAAATCAAAGAAATTATGCAAAGTCTGTGTATAAATATACCACAGTAAATCCCACTTTTATATATAATTATAATGTACTATTTAAAAATAATAATAGAAGGGAGAACAGTAGAATAGAGAAAGAGGATGGGGAGAAGAAACATGGGAGGTAGTAAGGAGTAAGACTGATCAAATCATGTTATATGCATGTGCAAATATGTCACAATGAATCCCCCTATTATGTCTATTAAGTACTCATAGAAACTATTTATATATGGATATATGTTATTTCAAAAAATTCATTCTGGAATGAAATGGAATAATAGCTTCAGTGCCCATTAAAACTTTTATCAAGCAGAAAATTTAATTAACCAATTCACTTTTAAAAGTCTAATGATGTGGGGGAGAGGAGAAAAATTAAAAATTAAAAAATGTTGGTATTGGAACTTTTTTAAAAAACGATAAAGATTTTATAAAAAAGAATGTGAGACCTTTGGGGGTGGGGAGCAAAATAAAATAAAAAAGAGTTAAAAAAAAGAAAATAAGAATCAAGTAGAACTAACACTGTTAATACTTTAGTATTCATCCTTCCAGACATCTCCCTGGGCATTAGAAGCAGCACATAGCTGAAGTCACTTGATACTACATAATGGCATCATATTATAGACATTCACATAATACATGTCACTATACATTACTATTCTGTAATTTTATTTTTAAAAACTGACACTGAGGGCTGGGGCCATAGCTTAGTGGCAGAACACTTGCCTAGCATGTGTGAAGCACTGGGTTCGATTCTCAGTACTCCATAAAAATAAACAAATAAAATAAAGGCATTCTGTCCATCTACAACTAAAAGAAAATTTTTAAAAACTGACACTGATAAAATCTATTATTTCCATTCTCTCAAATTTATCAAATATATAAAAAATTACCACATTAAATATATGAGCTAAATCTAGAATTATATTCATTTTTTTCTGTGGATACACTTTGAAACAAGAGAGAGTGTACTTTTATTTTATTTTTAGCAGTACTATGGATCAGACTCAGGGGCACTTCACCACTGACCTACATTCCCAGCATTTTTTTTTTTTTTGAGACAGCAATATCACTTAGTTGCCCAGATTGGAAACTGAGATCATCCTACCTTAGCTTCCTGAGTGGTTGGGAATAAGATGTGCACCAGTGAGCCCAACGAAAGCATGGCTTTAAGTTCAGAACTGTAGTCAAATTCTGACTGCAAGCTATGGTTTCTATGGCTTCTGCACCTCCGTCAGCTCCTCTTTCAAATTTCAAGAAAGGTTAAGAATAGAGCTTATATGTAAAATTCTGGCATACAGTGAACATTAAATGCTTTTACCATTTCCAAAAATTTTTCTAAGCTTAATTTTTAGCTTCAGATGAGAATCTTGTGAACACAAAAACTATGAACATCAAGTGGGCATACAACTCAACATCATAGCACTACACCAAGCTGACACTAAATCCAGATCTTCTCAATTTTCTATTTATGCAACATGAAAACATGACTCAGAACAATCTCTTATTGCCTATCCTTAATAATGTTCTGAAGTTTTAAAAACAATGTAATAATAATTGCTATTTCATAACATCAAAGAATAAACTAAGATATGATTATTCATCAATAAATATTGTTAAATAAATAAAAAGAGAACAGCAAATGTCTCTAAGACTGTACTGCTGGAAATTAGTGGAACAATAAGTAATGATATTACTATATAATTAAGTGATCCAAAAATTGAAAACAATCATTATTCAACACTGGAAGGATGGGGGTTAGAATGATCAGCAAAATCCTCATGTTACACATGCAGATTAAGTAAAAATTAACCTTAGTTGAGGATATAGGAAACAAGTTTTTCAACTCTTTGGCTTCTGCATTTACACAACAATTACAGAGAAAATCATCAGAGGAAATACAGAGTGGTGCCTCTAAGGAATAAGCTGGGGTGCAAAGAAAGCTGGCACAGCACACTGCTCCTATCATCTCAGGCAGTACTATATCGTACATTGTTACTATTATAAATTACATTTTAAAATTTGCAGAAATGAAAAACAGATAGAAATCTGGGAAACTCCAAATACTTGGAAATTAACACAATCTAAATATCCAGTGGATCAAAGTAGAAAACATGGGAAATCCAAAAACAATTTAAACTGAATGAAAATGAAAAATCAATATATAGACATTTAAGTAATGTAAATATTTACTTTGGGGAAGATAGAATGGATGTACTTTTTCCTATTACAACTAAAAATTCTTTGAATTATGTGTAAATCAAGTATAAGATTCTTGAAAAAGTGCAGAGTAGAGAGCAGACCTGAAATGTAAAGAATGACAGATCTGTTCTTAAAGAGGCTGACAGTCCAGAAATTCCAGTGGGCAGTACTATGCCTCTACAATTCAAGTGTTGAAACTTAATAGCAAATGTGACAGTATTAAAAAGTGGGACCTTAAAGCCTCCTCATTTGTGAAAGGGATAAAGGTCCTTATAAAAGGGCCCTTATAAAAAACACTTCTTGCAATGTTTGGCCGTCTTGCCTTCTGCCATGTGAAAACACAGTGTTCCTCCTTCCCAGAAGATGTAACAGCAAGACTTTATCTTAAAAACAGAGGGCAGCCCTCACCAGACAACTTCACCTGCCATTGCCTTGATCCTCAACGTCTCTGTCACTAGATGATGAGGAACAAATTTATGGTCTTTATAAATTACTCCACTCTCAAGAACTTGTTACAGCAGTACAAAATGGGCTAAAACAGGCACAGATATGAAAAGCACCTATAAAAGGCAAAATACCAGGAAAGGAACAGCAAGGGAATACAGAAAACTTTTGAACAATAATATCTTTGCTTCATCCAAATACCACCGGAAAAAACTGCAGCCTCGCTCCTATCATAACCACAAAAGCCAAGAGAGAAACCAACCTTTAGAGCCACCCAATCCATCTGCTGGGATGGAGTAAGAGAAGGATAACTAGGGAAATCCCTGTCCCTTGGTATCACTGATTTCCACCCCAAGCAGCAGCCAAAAGGTACCTCTTCCTTTCCCCAGTGTGGTGATGTCAGAGATATAACAGGACATTTTCAGGACTTTCATCACCATTCATAGTGATAAGACCATCCCTACCAAAATTTCAGCAGAAATCACATGGCTAGTCAGAATTCCCAGCCCACCCAAGCAACAGTGGGAGAACACTTCATCTTGACTTAATGGAGGCCAAAGGTGAACCTGGACTTTTATACCCACCTGACAATAAAAAAAAACAGTGTGCTCCTTCTTCCTTCACTAGAGTGATACCTGAAGAAGCCAGCTAAAATAAAATTTCTAAGATCCAGTCGCATAACATGATATGTTTTCACGTGAAACTAGACTAGATAGTTCTCAAACTGAAAGAATCAATCAATAGGTTGCAATAACTGGTATGACAGAAATACTAGAATTATCTAACCAAATTTTAAAACAAACATAAAAATGCTCTACTGAGCAATTATGAACTTGCTTTAAACAAATTAAAACCAGAAAATGTTAGCAGTGAGACAGAAAGTCTAAGCAAAAAATGGAAAAACAAAGAAAAACCAAAATGAAATTTCAACCCCCCCCCCACACACACACACATCCCTGGGAGGGAGTGGGGGGGACTACAAAACCAGTGGATGACCACAACAACAGAATGGAGGTGGAGAGATCAGTGAACAAGAAGATAAGACAACAGAAATAAATCTGAGCCACAAAGAAAAAAAATACTACTAAAAATCACAAAAATAAAACATATTCCTACAAATCTATGACACTATTTTTTAAAAATCTGATATTCAGGTCATTGGATTCCTGGATAGAAAGAAAAAAGAGGGTAGATCTGAAAAAGAATTCAAAGAAATAAGTTGCAAGTTAATGTTAAGAACTATTGAGGAGAAGACATGATAGAATGGGGCTAGGATGCAATTCCCAATCTCCCCACAATACAAAAAGCAG